ACAAAACAAAAAGAGAATCAGAGAGAATAGACTGAAGGTTGCCAGGGGAAAGGGGAGTCCAGGGACTGTGTGAAAAGGGTGAAGAAATTAAGAAGTACAAATTGGTAGTTAGAAAACAGTCACAAGTATGTGAAGTACAGCATAGGTAATATACTCAATAATATTGTGATAACTATTTATGGTGCCAGGAGGTACTGGCAAAATCAGGGGGAATACATGTACAGTACATGATTATCTAACCACTGTGCTGTACAGCTGAAACTAATTCAAAATTACATTGAATGCAAACTATAATTGAAATTTTTTTAATTTAAAAAAAAGAATGAGAGGCTAATGACGCCAGGGTCATGGAGTAATGGACAAGACAGCTGGTATGACTCCCCACCAGTCCCCACCCACGACAGTCTTTTCTCTTTCTCTCCCTTTTCCTTTCACCCTCCTCCCCACCCCCTTTTTACACTATAGTGTAAAAAGAATATGAACGTCACATTCAGATGACCCTGTGTTCAAATCTAAGACTCATTTCTAACTTTGGGCAAATCACGTTAACCTCTCAGCCTAAATTTCCTCAACTATAAAAGAAAGATAAAATCTTCTACCTTTTAGGCCGTTGACAAGATCAGATCAGATAATATTTAAAGAAATGGCCAGGTCACTAGTAGAGTAAATGGGATATTTTTTTAACTGGGAGTCAGTGAAGCTTGGTGGAGATGGCATGCAATTCAGAGTTGGACAGTCTTGGATTTGAATCCCTGCTCTACCATTTACAGACCAAGTCTTATAAGCTTTCTGTGCCTCAGTTTCCTTATCTATAAAGTGGAGTAAATAATATAAATTTAATAGATTTTGGGAGACAATCCAAAGGATAAATATTTAGAATATACAGATATTTAACAAATAAAGCTGCCTCTCAGTAGGACTTGCAGTAGGTGACTTGTTCTCTAGAGGCTCATGTTTGTTGACACCTGATCTATTTCCTCCAGTGTGTCATCACTAAGAACAGGGAAGGGCTAAAGCACTGAGGAATTTTAATCTTGAACTTACCTTTTGAGGCTGTAGGATATAAGAAGAGAGAGGCAGAATGGTACAATGCAATGAAAAGACCAACATAGGAAGCATGGGTCCAGTCCCACTTGTGCATTAACTGCCTATATAACCCCCTATAAACAACACACTATTTCTAGAATATGAGAAAGTTGGTATAGATTAGTGGGAAGTGACTGGAAACATTTTTGATTGTCATGACTGGGATTGCTACTGGCATCTAGTGGATAGAGGCCAGGGATGCTACTGATCATCCTAGAGTGCACAGGACAGATCCCCACAACAAAGAATTATCTGGCCAAAATATCAATAGTGCTGATGTTGAGAAACCCTGGCCTAGACAATTGCTAAGTCCCCTTCAAGCTCTCCCTTTCTAAGAGACTATAATGAGGCAGCACCAATGTCAAATAGGTGACAGTCTTGTCAATATCTGTCAAGCAATGGCTTACAGTGCTGCTCAAAATTCCTATAAAGCCAATGGGGGAAATTTTTCCCTCAGATATTTGGATATTCGGAAATCAGTGCTGTATTTCTGAGGGTGACGACAGTCCTTCCGTCACAACAAGAGACTCAGACATGGAAGAGGCACAGTCTTCCAGGGACTTGGTCCCTCTTTGCAGTTAGAATCAGTGCTTTCAAAGCCATGAGATTCCTTTTGGGCAAGAGGATGACTTAAATAATTCCGAATCAAGGTCAGAATAAGATGTAATATACACAGCAATAGAAATGAATGTTGTCTACATCACACTAAATAAAAGAAGCCAGACTTAAAAACGCTACATACTATTTTATTATATTTATAGACATTCCAGAACAGAGAAAACTGTAGGGACAGAAAACAGATCAGTAGTCGCCAGGGGCTGGGGGCAGGGAGAGTAGCTTGCTACAAAGGGACATGAAGGAATTTTGGGGTGATGCACTGGTTTATATACTGATGGTAAACTACACAACTGTGTTTGTTAAAACTCATAGAATGGTACACTAAAAAGGTAAATTTTACTACATCTATATTGTCCTTCAATAAGACTGACCTCTTTCTCCACACCCCTCGGCCCCAGCCCACATGTAATCACAAATGCTGCAGAGAAGATGGCTGTACTTTGGGAGAGAATAAACTGGGTGACCTCTAAATTCTTTCCCACCCCAAGTCCTGTGGTTTTATGATAATCTGTCTCTCATACCCCTGATGACCTCAGAGCTATAGTGGCTAGGGTTAAGCCTGCACCCCAGTTTCTGTGTTACAGTAATGAGTCCCTCTGACTAAATCATATGGATGTGAGTCCTGCCACCATTCTGGGACCTCTGGCTTTACTCCAGCCTGTGACAAAGTTTCCTTTCCTTCTTTCTACTGCCCTGACTCCCCTTGGGATCAATGACGGCCTTACACAATTAGTAAATGAGCCAGAATCAACCTCAGGACTCTAGTTTTATCTCTCTGCACAGGCTTCCTGTCCAAATCCCATTTGATCTTTCCATTGAACTTCAAACCAGGCAACAGAGGACAAATCAAACTTATGAATTCTCCTCATCTATGGCCTCTGGGCTTCCATCAGATTTTTTTATACACTTCAGCTACATAAATGTAAAATGTGACCCTCACACCAAAAATCATGGCCAAGTTTGTTGATATATAGAGAGATAGGCAGTTTTGTTTTGTTTACACACATACACACACCTCCCAGATTATTGATCTATCAAATGTTACACAAAATAGCTCATTTTTCTTAGCTACAGAACAGCCAGCCCTAGGTATGCTATGGCCAGGGAGGACTGAAATAGCCATCAGTATGCTCACACTTTCTGGCAGTAGAAAGAGCACTGCCTCCTACACTGCAGATACAGTCCCAGCTGTGAACTGCTGTAGATAACCCCATCCTCTTATCTGAGAGTCAGTTTCTTCCCTGGCTCTTCTTGGAAGACAACAGTAAAACAATTACAAACATCAGTAACCAGACACTTCAGAGATACTTGAGTGATGGGATAAAAATCAAGGGCCATAAGACAAGCCTGGACCTGCCAGTACCCTCATATTCCAAAGGACAGGGAAGGATCAGTAGGGGCCATCTAATGTCCACACTGCCTTTTCCTGCTGAGCATTTATAGCAAAAGCAGTTTGACCACACAGTTAGGGCGCTTACAACGGAAGGAACCCACAGAGACAACAAATCCCACAGTGGTCTAGGGTCTTGTTTCCACGTGTTCCATGCAGAAGGGCAGGATGAGGGAATTACACTTCCATGGTTTAGAACTACCCAGTCATCCTCAGAAGTTCGCATCAATGGAATATTAGTTCCTCTAAGTCACCCAAATTTAATAACGTTGTTCCTTTGGCATAATTAGAAAAAGTTTCACAGAAGACTAAAATATTTAGAAAACACATTTTGGCTTTTTATGCAAAAGTATATAGACTAATAGACAACTGTTGTTCAGGGTTCTACCCAAAATATTTCCATTTCCAATGGTATTTCCAAAGGACATACTCCTTCAGTGTTTTCTTTCATATGTTAAATATGATAAGGCCAAATAAATTATATTTCCAGTTTTAGAGATAGACTTTCATAAAGAGCACCCTGATGGCTGCTAGAGTGAGGGCTACTGTTTGTCGTCAATTGAACTGAATGAGACAAGGCTTGCTGGTCCTCATGGGGACAAGTGAATATATGACCTTCACCAGGACAAACCAGAATAAGGCTTCTGCTTCACAGAAACAGAGGCAAGTCCTATAGATCCACCCAGCCAGACATGCTGTCTCAGAAACTTCTGAGAGAGCTAGGCAACACTACCAGACACAGGAATCATGACCAACAGCCTTAGCTGAGCCTCTCAATCCACATGAGATCAATAAAATTCACCTCTTGCATACATTGCAGGCAGGCCGACTAGCTGTCTAGCCTGTTACACTCAGCCTGGGAGCACAGGCCTAAGGCTCAAAGAAGATACTAGCCTCTAGGATTCCTGGGCCCTTCTGTTGCATACAACACAAAGCCAGATTTGAGATGAGTCCATTCACTACAGAGGAGCAGAGCATTACCTACATTAACTTGTACACATCTGAATCACACTGAGGCCCAAGCCTAAATAAACAACTAGCCCACTCCCATACCCTGAGCAAACAATCCTTTACTCTTTTGGCAACTGATGCCTCTCACTTCTCAGATCAAATATCTTTGGTTTATAACCAAACTACCATAAGTAATAAATAGGCTGAGCCCAAATTCCATGTAAATTTCCCAGTACGAGGCCTGTCCAGAAAAAGTCCAGCCATTGTTAAAATAATGAGAACTGGTTTGCACAATATTCATGTAAACTGGCAGCCAAGGAGAGCGGACTGGAATGTGCATGCATGAACAATAACGACTTTACTGTACTAGTCAGCGAGGGGCAGTAGATGCCGTTGAGTGTGCATGTATACTCTGTAGCCATTGCATTTAAAATGACTGAGCAAGTAGAACAATGAATCTGCATAAAATTTTGCATTAAGTTTGAACACTCCCCTGTGGAAAACTGTTCGGATGATTCAGAAGGCCGCAGCTGTGGGCAACTGGTGATTGGCAGCTTCATCACAACAATGTGCCTGCATATGCATCACATCTCATACAGATTTTCTGGTGAAACATCAAATCACCCAGCCTCTCTACAGCTTAGATTTGGTGCCCTGAAACTTCTGGCTTTTCCCAAAACTAAAATCACCTTTGAAAGGAAGAGATTTCAGATTGTTGATGAGATTCAGGAAAATATGATGGGGCAGCTGATAGCGATTGGGAGAACTGTATGAAGTCCCAAGATGCCTACTTTGAAAGGCACTGAGGTGTTCTATATACAATGTTTCTTGTATTATGTATCTTCTTCAATAAATGTTTCTAGTTTTCATATTACATGGCTGGATGCCTTTTGGACAGACCTCAGAATTATACAGTTATGAAAAACTGAGAAGAATGAAGGAAAAATGACATTACCACTTCCTGAGATGCATACTGAGGGTCCTCTGGGTTGACTGACCAGTAGCAGTAATCAAAGCCAAATGCCACAACCTTCTCCCGAGAGTCACCAAAGCCATCTGATCGACCGTCCACCTAAAATCAAACATAGGATCCAGTGTCTTCTCCATTATAATATCAGAATCTGGCTAATGGCACTTGATTCCTCTCTGCCGTAGCTAGAGAGACATGGAATGATCGTGAGAATCTTTATGATACCTATTTAAAAAAGAAAAAAAAAAAGTAACCTGTCCTATCTTTTTAGGTTCAATAAAGCCCCAGAGAATTAATTAAATGTCTCTTTATCATACTATCATATATCTACCTACATATGAACCAATCAAATGGGATGTAGGATAACCTGAAAGAGAAAACCTTTACCTCTTTGGGTTTCTTGTTATCATTACCATTTTTTTCTCTAAGCATTTCTATGGCAGATACAGAAATGCATGAGTCCTTTAGTCCCTGGGCCTGACTGGCTCTACCAACCTACGGCTTTCATGGAGGCACCTGGGGACCCACCTCAGTGAATTAAAAAGCATGTTTGATAGAAGAGCTAGGACCAATCCCAACTGCGCAAGGTAGATGAGGGCAGAGCCAGAGGCTGGAACTGCACTGACCTCCAGTTACTATACTGGGGAGAACTGCATACTATTTAAAATTTAGACTCTGGACAGGAAGAGACAACCCTTAGCACTAGGATCCTCAAACCACAATAAAATGAGGCTATCAGAATGACTAAGAGATTCTTAGTAGACAATTGACCTCAGGGAAGCTGGCAATGTGTGCGGGAGGCAGATTTGAGTTTGATCTTGGCCAGGTATTATTAAGAAACAAAAATATGATCTCTCAGGACAAAGCAGCTTTAGTGATTAGGCAACAGAGATATAAGTAAGAGACAGCAAAAAATAAAAAGTCTTTTGTCCCCAGGGAGCTCCCATTGACAGGTGGTGGTTCCTGTTTCTTTTATCAGAGAGCTACTGACAAAGGGAAACAGATCCCATCACAGGAGTAACACGGGAGTGGGCATGGCTGGGAGGCCTGGGGTCCACGCAGATAACCCTCACTCTGGAGGTCACATGGCCAAGCTGTTTCCCTCCACTCCCCATGGCCCAAGAAGAAAGAAACACTTCCACTTCCACTGGCCTGGTAAGGGAGGAATGGAATGGAGGAAATTAGCTGTAGGACGGTATAAGGGGTAGGGGAAGAGTTCCCAGAGTTTGTCCAACTGTGATTCAAAGAGCAGTGAAATCTGTGAAAAAGAATTTGTAGCAAGACTCATTCTAGCAACCGACTCCCCCCTGAGATCTGAAGATTCTTTCTTGGTCCTCACTATGGCCAATATGAATCCTGCATTAGCTGATGCGCATGCCTCTTGACGAAGTGATACCAAACGAGAGGCTTGGCACAAAGTCTGACTAGTGCTCAGGTGAGTTAAGTATACACATGGACTGTCCCCAAAATGATTTAAACTAGCCACACCCCACCCATACATCCTTTGTGTTTACTTTCAAAGAAGCTACTGACTAGTTTCCAAAACAGCTGCACCTTCTTTGATAAAACTTGATCTGCAGCAGCAACGTCCCCTGTACTTCTTTCCTACTGTTTTATACGTGCTTAGCTCAGAGCTCCTCCACTCCCCCTCTCTAAATACATTCACATACACACCCTCTCCCCAGAAGCCCTTGTAATAACCAGCTCTTGAGTGAAAAGAAAAAGGAAAGTAATTTCAGGCTTACCTTTAAATTCCTGATTTTTGCCAGTTTGCCATCAACTTCCACAATAATTCTCCCTCCTTCTTTGGTTTCCCTAGAAACAAGACCCAAACCCATATGTGAAGAAACATTGCTTTTTTTTTTTTCTTAATCAAGAAAAGAGAAACTGAGAATAGCACTATTGGGACAAAATGCTTCCCTACTCCTGTCTCCATAACTGAGGTGACTGAATAAGTTGCTGAAAGCATCACATCAAACAATCCTTTCTGGATCATTAGGATTTGGCTCTGGACAGCCAGGAGTCCTCATTATTGGTGACCCTCCACATGCTGGACACTGTATTAGGCACAGCACATATTATACTTCATCTTACTCAATCCTCTTAACCACCCTCCTGAAATACCTCCCTAACATGTCTTCATCTTTACAGACAAAAGTATAAAGCTGAGAAAAACTATGTAAGTTGTCCACGGTAATACAGCTAGCAGTGCCAAAGCTAGGATTTAAACCCAGATTTGTCTGACCACAAAGCCTGGGCTCCTAACTATACCTTAGAAATCAAGCTTGGAAACCCTGGGGAGTATCTTTGGTTCAGCACACAACATGCTATCACCTCTTATTTTCTCTGGGATTTTAAACATGAATAAGATTTTGGGCCCCTCTCTATGGATATCCTGAGAAAAGATCTCCCCAATCCTTTCCCTACACTGGAATGAGAACCAAGATCTTCAGGAATCTTCCTATGTTGCAGTTACGTGGGTGGTAACACTTAACCAATTCCTAAATTTACTTTAAGGGGCTTAATCCAAATGATCCACATACCTGAAGCCTAAAATGAATGGAATATACTAAATATAAAATTCTTTCACATAACACAAAGAGCCTTAGCTAAAGTGCTCACAGCCAAAATGTTAATAGATGAGAAATTCATTACCACTTCCTCCAGTACAAGGAAAGTTATTAAATTACTCCTAGCCTGCGACCTGAAAACTGAGAATATATGTTCAGTTTCATTTTATCCTTCCTCTGAATTCCCAGGATGTGACCTTGAGGGCTTGGAGGGGGGTGCTAGGGATGGGGTTGGTTGGGGGGTGGGGATGTCTTTAGATTTAAGGTTATTTTTTTTTTAAGCCTGTCAGTGAAATAAAGTCCTGGATAGAAATTTTCCCTCTTCCAGGTAATGACACTTCTGTTACTTAAATTTCCCCAAGGTCCTGATACCGTTTCTTTCACATTTCATACTAGATATTTGAGTCACCAGAGATATATTGTCTCCCAAGGTCATTAAACTGCCCTTCCTCTCTCCCCTCCCCATCCAACACTGCCCTGAGCTCTCCTAAAAAAGTAAATCTTTCATCTTTGGTGTTAACATTTTATAAGATTTTTATAAGATTTTTTTCCTTTCTGCAGCTCCAAGTAAGTTTTATTATTCCTCCACTCATTATAAAATATACAGATTATATATAGTAAATTTGGACAATGAAGAAAATATGAAAAAAATCACACAATAACTTTATCAAATCTTATCTAAGACTCTTTGGCATAAAGCTACCAAAAAAACCCCAAAAAACAAAAAAGAAAAAATTTGACATATTAGCTGAAAAATATAACAAACACTACAGGAGGGTGAGATGTTACTCCTCCGTTACCATTGGTAACCTAGTGGTTCCAAACATTCTAGAACAAAATGGAGATGAATTAAGGTTGGGCACAACAGAAAGGGCACTAACCTCAATTGTGTAGCTACCAGCACAGAGCTCAACAAAAGTCTGAGAAGCAGACTTACACACAGTAGAGTGGAGCGCCTACCACTCATTTCAGTGTCCTGAATTCCACCAACAAGCATTAATTGCTTAGAGTTAAAAGGATTTGCGGGGGGAAATCCTCACTTTCACATTATTCCCGGGACAGTGTTTCTCAAAGCGGTCCACAGGCCTCTTTCATCAGAAACATGGGAGATGGTGGGGCTGGTTAATTAAAATTCCTGTTAATAAGTTGCAGTATAACAAGTTCCCCAGGTGGACTGTATGTATGCATACTATAATTTCAGAATCACTGTCCTAGAGGAGAAAATAACCAAGCCATTACCATTCATTTATTCATTTGTAAAATTTTTTTTAAAAAGACTGTAGCTAAGTATAGGGAGAAATAAAAATAGTTGGTAAGAATTAGATAGCTAATACTTTATTGGACATTTAAAATGAGCCAGGCTCTGTCCTAGTCTACATATTTTAAATGTATTCTTGTACTTAATCTTCATAAAAACTTTGAAGCAGTCATTCTATTTTACAGATTTTTTAAAAAGCACAGAAAGGGAATGTAGCATATGAAAAGTAGTTTTTGACAAGGCAGTGGGAAGTGTTCCAGGGCCTACAATATTGGTGGAAGAGAACACGCTATCTCAATGATGAATGACTTCATGTAGACAAGGGGCAGCACCTCATAATGGGACACTGACTTTCTGACACGGGAAACAACTATGAGGTAGAGATGAGGGCATCAAACCCATTTTCCATATTATCATTTTACCGCTGGATGGTCATTTCTAGTCCTACTGAGGCATTTGACAGAGAAGTACAACTTTTCTGTAATCTCAGGAAGGAAAAGTTTAGTCTGGTGAGTTGATTTTTGGTTCCATGTATGTTTAGACCTTAAAAAAGACCATTTTCTCACCTGGAAAATCAGAAAAAATGGAAGCTTAGACCATAGGACCTCTAAGATTTTGTCCCAAATACATCAAGTCCAATGACTTACTGAAGTTTGTATCAAACTATTAGGTTGGCCAAAAAGTCAGTTTAGTTTTTTCCATAAAATAAAAGACACATTTTTCATTTTCACCAATAACTTTACTGATTTGGAGATTTGGAGTATGTCGGCTATCACCAGCTATTGGCTTCTAGTGGGTAGAGGCCAGGGGTGCTGCTAAACATCTTCCAATGCATAAGACGGCCCACAGAAAAAAATTATTTGGCCAAAATATCAATAGTATCAAGAAACTTCACAAACGACTTTTGACATGTTTGATCAGTCACAGCACCTCCACACACTGCACAAATCTTTTTTTGCATTTTTACCTTTCTTGAAATAATAAAGCATAATACACCAAAAATATTGCATATTTTCAAACTCCATCTTCAGTATTAAAGAGGCTGCACAAAAATTCACCAATTTTGATAAGTATTTTTAATGCATAGTGATGTGATGACTATTACAATACAATCTAACAAAGTTGTTTCGGTTGAAGTTAAAAGACAACTAAGCTGTACTAGAGCCATCCTACAGAAAAAAGTGTAACAGACTTTTTGGCCAACCCAATACATAGGTTCCCTACATTCAGCTGAGCCTCAGTAAAGATACTTCAAATTAACAAACCTTGGAGTATAGTTTCATCTCTGCAGGATTCTGTGAGAAAAGGGGAGTAGTCTCAGTCTCTTAGCTGGAGTCACACTGGGTTTCTCCATATCTGCCCCTGAATCTGTGCTCCTGAATCTTCAGCCTGCAATAATATGCTAACTCCTGGATATCTGCAGTCTTGGCATTCTATGGCTTGCTGCTCAAGGTTCTTCACATGAACTCAGTAAGTAAGCTTTATACCCTTCTTTCCTCCTCACTTTTGTAAAATGAGATGTTATTCTCTACTGTGGCTGCAAATAACTCAATTTCAACAGCATTTTTTAAAAAATATTTTTCAACTTTTTAAAAAAATGTTTATTTATTTATTTTAAAGAGGGGAAGAGAAGGAGAGAAATATCAATGTGTGCTTGCATTTCACATGCCCCCTCCTGGGGACCTGGCCTGCGACCCAGGCATGTGCCCTGCACTGAGACTTGAACCAGCAACTCTTTGGTTTGCAGGCTGGTGCTCAATCCACTGAGCCACACCAGCGAGGGCTCAATAGCATTTTCTTAATCTAATGCATGCTATTATAAATCCCTAGTTCCCAAGGAACAGAAAAGTTACTGTGAGGAGTGGTCAACGTTGTTACACCAAGAACTCTTGGGATTAGACAAAGGACATATGTGCATGGCCCATGGACATGAATAACGGTGTGGGGATTGTGCGAATGCGGGTGGGCTGGGTAGAGGGGGGCAAAGGGAGAAAAACTGGTACAACTTTAATAGCATAAACAATAAAAAATAAAATTTAAAAAAGAATGGTTTTGCAAAAAGAGGATCTGTCAGAGGCTACTCTCAGGGTAGCAGCTGCACCAATGAAACCCCCCCAACCTTGAGCACCACACTGAGTAATGCAGAAGCCAGATGCTGAAAGCCATCTACTAATCTAAAGACAACAGTTGAAGCGCGCTTTCCTTTTTTCTTCATTGTACCTCCTTTGCCTTTTTCCTACTTTCTTTTTTGTTTTTCTTGTTTCTTTCCTATCTCATTCCTTTCCTCATTGTTCTGTCAATTGCATGACTTTTCAAAGCCAGTCGTCTTCATATTAGGACAAACATAATCCCTGATTGCACCAAATTTTACTATGGGAGACAGTGCCTTTTTTGCCCACTTTTCAAGCCATCTTATGTCCTGGAAATTTTTTAACTTCCTAAATAATTCCAAAATGTGCCACTGGTCCCAAACCACGCTCTCCACAGCTTCATGTCCTGTTACTCACCTACCTCCACATACCCTCTCTCCAAACAACCAAAACTTATGTTTCTTAACAGCCTAAGACCTTTGCTTTCAGTGTTTTTACTAGAGTGCTTTCTACACTTTCTCCACCAGTCAGCAGACTCTAATAGATCTTTAAAAAGAGCAGTTTAAACGCCAACTCTTCTGTGAAGCCTTCCTTGACTTTCCAAACCTGAGTGGAGAATTAGTGAAAAGGGGAAGAAATTATGTGGCTGGACACTGGATGCCTCAAAAGCTGAGGGGTGCAGAATCAGATTTACATATGAGGAAATGGGCACTGCCGTCGCTGAGAGTAACTTCTCCTGTTTCACAGTTCGGCTGTCCAGCATAGGACGAAACCACTATCCCTTTGGGCCTCAGTCTCCCTCTCGTGTCTTCCATTCTGCCTTTCTCCACATCGCCGCAGAGAAACCCACGTGCACCCACAATTCTGCTTCGGTCCTCACCGGTACTTTAGAGGCAGCAAGAAGAGAGAGGAGGCTGACAATCCCTCTCCCGGCGTAAAGATACTTTCAACGCACCCAGGGAGAGACGCCCTACCCGTGCATCAGAACTTGAGCAGTGGTCCCTAAAACCTCCTGCTGGCAGGACGAGGGACGCCGAAACGGGGCAGCCCACCCCTGAGGCCAACCAGGAACCGCTATCCCCCAGGCACAACGCGAAAGCTCGACCCGAGGTCTCAACTTGCCAGGCCTTTAAGGTTTCCGGCCCCTGCCCCGCTGGGCTACTTTGTGTCTGATTTCTCCACGCCGGAATCACTTGACGGGGAGGCGGGGACCTCGCCCTCGCGACTCCCTTGCCGCCTCAGGCGCCCCCTCCCGCCCAGACTCACCTCTTGCTGAGGGGCCGGACCCTCACGGCCACCCGCACATTCGCCATCCCTTGGCCTCCGCCCAAGCCTAGCAAACTGGCCCAGCTGCAGCATCACCAGCCCCAGCCCCAAACTCAGGCGCAGCCCGGGTGCAGCCCCACCCGCCCCGAGCACCTCCCGTGCTGGCCCCGCCCATTTGCACGCCCTGGGCGGGCCGGGGCGGTGCCTGCTGAGGTCCGGCCAATCCTGAGCCCAGTTGGCGAGATGACGTACGGCCAGGCCCCGCCCATCTCGCCCCGTCCAGCCCTACGGTGCTTAGCGCACGGACCTCCCGGGAAGGCCTCGCACAAACGCTCGACCTGGGCAGGCCCAGGCGATTCCTGCTTAGCCGAGGCCAATTGTGAGCCCCCTCGGTGGTGTAGCGCAGTGCCGGGCAGCGTCTGGCCAGACCTGTTGGGACCCTCTTACTGGGAGCTGACTTTTCTCCTAGGACTGGCTGACAATGCTTGTAGAGTCGAGTAGATCCGTTACAGTGCCAATAGTTTACAAAAGGACTTGATAAACGCTTTTATTCACCGTATTGGCCTGAGCTGTCAATTCTTTGGTTAAATTTTAGGGGCAGAAATGAAATGGGGAACACCGATGTTTTTGCAGTTCTCAGCAAAGAGCTGTGTCCTTTGAGGAGCCATTTGGGTTGTGAAGAAGTTGAGTGCTCCCTGGCAAGTTCTCCATTGTGCTGGAAACATCATGCACCTGGCAGTGACTGTGGTAGCGGAGGAAATACTCTCGGTCAGAACTGGTCCATCAGTTCACCGGAGAAATAACCATTGAGTACCTACCAAGAGTTAACTGCTCTTCTAAGGCACTAAGGATACAGTCTCTGCCTTCCTGGAAATTGAAATCTACAGGGGAGAAAAGAAACAATATGTACTGTATTTTGCCATGTATAATGCACACTTTTTTCCCCAAATTTTTGAGAAAAAAACTAAGGATGCACATTATATATGGGTAGTATTCTATACTATATAAATGTTTTAAATTCTTTTATTTATGCCTATTATTAAAAGTGTAACTCTAGAAAGCAATAACGATATCCGTATGCAAAATAGTATCTTGGAATACAATAATCGGTTTTGTTGAATTTACTGCAAACTCACAACAAAGCAGCTTTGGCCAATGATTCACTTTGTATTGTTATCCACTTGATAAGATAGGTGATGCCTAACAGGGTGAACAGTGCCATATTTCTCTTCGTATACTTTAGGTGGAAGAAATAATTGGAAAATGTCAAAACATTTTTTGTACACTTTTTAGCTTAAAGTTATTAAATGTGCCTAAGAGCATGGCAACAGAGCTGCCAAGAGACACTTTGGACCTCCTCCCACAGAAAGTGTCATCAGATTGTGGAGGCAACAGGAAGAAAGGCTTCTTCAGATGCCCAGACAGAAGAGGGCAATGTGAGAGAAGCCTCCACAGTGGCAGGAGGTGAATTGGATTCCGGAGCAGCATCAAACTGGGATCTCTGTTTTGACCAAGATGATAAAAGAACAAGATAAAATGATTGCACAAGAAAAAAAAAAAAACATTGATGATTTCCCAGGGACACCTACATGGTGTTTTAACTTTATGAAGAGAGAAGATTTGAGAATGTGGACACAAACGAAACTTGCTCAGAAGCTTCCAGCAGCCTATGAGAATCAAGTTTTAGAATTTCACTCTTATGTTTTCAATCTTCTAAAGACTTACAACTTTGAGCTGTCCCAAATTGCCAATATGGATGAGGTCCCACTCACATTTGATGTGCCATCCAACAGAACTGTGGACATCAAAAGAGCAAAGACCATGGCTGTTAAAACTAGCAGTCATGAGAAAACACATTTCAATGTTGTTCTAGCCTGTTGTGCAGATGGGACAAAGCTACCACCTATGATCATCTTTAAAAGAAAAACGTTTCCAAAAGAAAATATTCCAAGTGGAATTACTGCCCATGTGCATGAAAAAGGATGGATGAATGAAGAAGGCATGAAAATCTGGTTTAACAAAGTCCGGTCACAAAGGCCTGGAGGATTAGTTAAAAAACCAGCTTTGCTTGTTTTTGATCACTTCTAAGTCCATGTCACACAAAGTGCAAAAACAATCTCAGCAGACTTGAAAAACCAAACTTGCTCTGATACCTGGTAGGCTAACCGGCCAAATGCAACCTCTGATGTGTCAGTAAACAAGCCCTTTAAGGCTCTAATGAAGAAAGGGTGGACATTGTGGATGCAGTCAGCTGGTGAAGATTTAACACCTACAGGCAGGATCAATAAAGCATCCATCACCCAGGTTTGTGATTGGATCCTAAGATCATGGCACAATGTCAAGAAGGAAGTAGTCGTGAAATCATTTAAAAAAATGTGGCATCAGCAATGCTATGGATGGAACTAAGGATGATGAAATTTACCAGGATGAGGGAAGTGACTCTTCAGAAGACACCGGTAATGTAGAAATTGAAGGAGACAATACTTCTGATATTGACAATACTACATAAATATTGTAAATTTGTTACTGGTACATAAAACTTCTTGTACTTTCTATCTGTTCTTATGTTTTGTAATTATTTGTTAGATAAAATGTATTGTACCATAATATGTTCAAAAATCAATGCTAAAATTCCTTTATGATACAAAAAGCAAGTATCTAAATATAAATAAATAAATAAATAATTGAATTAAAAAATTAAAACGAAAGACTTTTTCTTCCTGAAAGTTTGGGCCAAAAACATGGTGCGCACATTATACATGACAAAATACAGCAAATAAATATGTACTGTGTCAAATGGTGCTAAGTGAAATTTTTTTAAAAACAGGATAAGAAGATATAGTAATGATCTCTTTGTGTATGTAGAGGGAAACATGCCATTTTATATAGAATCTTCAAGAAAGACCTAGCTGAGAAGTGGTGCTTGACTAGATTTCAAGAAAGGGAGGGAGCCATGCAGGAACTCATTTATTTAAGAATGTTTCCTAAGTAAGCACCTGTTATGATAGGCTTTGTTCTAAGCATAAGAGACAAAAGAGTGAAGAAAATGGCAAACCTCTGACCTCATAGAACTTGGTGAGAGAGACTAACAAGTATAACAATTTAAGTGAAATATACATCAGACTAGCTAAAGAAAAAAAAGTAATGCAGCAAAGGGAACAGGAAGTGAGTAGAGAGGATGTTGAAACTTTAGGTTATATGGCCAGGGAAAGTCTCACTGAGAATGTGACACTTGAGAAAAATCTGAAGGATGTAAAAAAAGAGTATGCAATTATCTAGAAGAAGGGTAATTCCAGACACAGGGAACAGACCCATGTAAAGGACCTGAGCTTGTAGGTAGCCTGGAATGTTAGAGGAACAGCAAGCAAGTTAGTAGGGATACAAGGAGTGATAGAAGGGAGGGGTCATAAAGGTAGCATGAGGCCATGGGAGTTTTTGGATTTTATTCTAGGTGAGCTGGAAAACCACTGGGAAGTTTTAAGAATAAGAATGAAATGTGAATCCTGGTTGGTGTGGCTCAGTAGATTGAGTGCTGGCCTGTGAACCAAAGGGTCACTGGTTTGATTCCCAGTCAGGGCACATGCCAGGGTTGCAGACCAGGTCCCCAGGGGGTGTGAGAGAGGCAACCACACATTGATGTTTCTCTCTTTCTCCCTCCTTTCACTTCTCTCTAAAAATAAATAAATAAAATCTTTAAAAAGAAAAAAAATAAAATACGACAGTTCTGGCCAAGGTGGAGGCATAGGTAGAAACAAATTGCTTCCTTGCACAACCAAAAGAAGGATAACAACCTTCAAACAACAAACAACCACAACTGCCAAAAAATCAAACTGCATGAAACTTCAACAACCAAGGAGTTAAAGAAACATTCATCCAGACTGGTAGGAGGGGCAGACATAGGCAGCCCGGTGGACAGGACCAGAAGCAAGGGGGCAGACCTTGAGGGTGAAGTGGGGGCTGGCTGAAGGGGAAACTAAAGACTCAAAAACCTCTCGCTGTAAAATCCTGTGGGAGTTGGGAAGGCAGGCGGGAGAAACTCCCAGCTTCACAATAGAGTTCTTTGGAGGGGCCCACAGGATCCTAGAATATACATAAACCCACCCACCTGGGGATCAGCACCTGAAAGTACACAAACCACTTGTGGGAAGCCAGGGAAGTGATGGAAAATGGGGCTAGAGTGGAGCAAGTGATTGGCATTGTTCCTCTCTCACTCTTCCCCCACAGACAGCACCCCAACACAGCTAAGAGTGTTGCCCCGCCCTGGCAAATTACCCAAGGCTCTGCCCCTTACAACATAACAGGTGCGCCGAGACAAAGAAATATGGCCCAAATGAAAGAACAGATCAAAACTCTAGAAAAACAACTGAGCAATGAGGAGATAGACAACCTCTCTGATGCAGAGTTCAAAGGACTGGTAATCAGAATGCTCACAGAATTTATTGAGCTGGGGTGCAAAATGAAGGAAGAAATGAAGGCTATACAAAGTGGAAAAAAGGAAAATATACAGGAAACCAACAGTGAACAGAAGGAAACTGGGACTCAAATCAATGTTTTGGAACAAAAGGAAGAAATAAACATCCAACTGGAACAGAATGAAGAAACAAGAATTCAAAAAAATGAGGAGAGGCTGAGGAACCTCAGGGACAACTTTAAACATTCCAACATCCAAATCATAGGGGTACCAGAAGGAGAAGAGGAAGAGCAAGAAATTGAAAACTTACTTGAACAAATAATGAAGGAGAACTTCCCCAATCTGGCAAAGGAAACAGACTTCCAGGAGATCCAGGAAGCTCAGAGAGTCCCAAAAGAGATGGACCCAAGGAGGAACACACCAAGGCACATCATAATGACATTACCCAAGATTAAAGATAAGGAGGGAATCTTAAAAGCAGCAAGAGGAAAGGAGACAGTTACCTGCAAAGGAGTTCCCATAAGACTGTCAGCTGCTTTCTCAGAAGAAATCTTACAGGGAAAAAGAGGCTGGAAAGAAGTATTCAAAGTCATGAAAGACAAGGACCTACATCCAAGATGACTCTATCCAACAAAGCTACCATTTAGAATGGAAGGGCAGATAAAGTGCTTCCCAGATAAGGTCAAGTTAAAGGAGTTCATTATCACCAAGCCCTTATTATATGA